ACGGGAGGGGGGGGGGGGGGGGGGGGGGGGGGGGGGGGGGGGGGGGGGGGGGGGAGGATGGTCGGGGGGACATATCCTATTCTCCCTTGGTTGATGATTCCGTACGGAGGTCTGGGCAGGACGGCCGATGATAGAACGTTCGACAACATGTTCTCCGCGTTGCACAGTGTGATAGAACGGTGTTTCGTCCGACTGAAAGGCATGTGGTGGTGTTTCAGTTACAAGCACATTGCGAACATGGAGAACATTTGTTATCAATTTATGGCGTGTTGTATTCTGCACAACATAATCATTGACGAAGGCATCCCTGTTGACGAAGATTTGTTGAGGCCGAGGAGGAACGGCCACGGCAACTGCAACAACAACGACAACAACGGGGAGGCGGACAACATCGACAACAATGACGACAACATCGACAACATCGACAACAACGAACAAGCTGAGGCTCCTATGAATGACGAATCCGACGACAACTCTGGCGAGGACGACAGCGATGTTCCTCCGGAAAGCACTGCCATGTACAGAAGCTAACTCCATCGGCTGCGTGCGGCAAACGCCTTCCGGAAGTCCGTGCTCCGCCATGCCCTCCACGTTGCCCGTGTGTTTCGAAACAATGGAGGTTTTGCGTAGGAGTAGCCTGAGGCTTCGTCGTGGACCTCCCGTGTTCTGTTCTTCTTTTGATTTGCAAGGTCGTGGGTTACATTACTTTTTGGTCTTTTTTTTTTCAGTATGTTGGCAGATTGATAGGGTGAGAAAGGATAGATTGGCACATGGAGCTCACACTCGTATACTTGTGGGGTATGCGTGTGTAGCGGACCCACCAGGTGTGGTGCTCTGCTAGTGACAGAGATGGAGATGGAGGAAGAAGGGGGGAGCGAGATGGCACAACGCAGCTCCCCATGCAAGACTCCAACGCATGTACTCCAAAATGTGCAAGTGAAGAATGAGCCTGAAAACAGACAATGGCTGGGTTATACCCCAGCGGACTGACGAGACTGGACTGGATTGGCTGGTACCGACAGAGGTACAGGCCTGGACTAGCCTACCCCGAATACAACACAGGCCTGTGAGAACAGACCAAGGGGCTGGTCTCACAGGCCAACCCGAGGCCCGCTACACGATCCTCGGCCTGTGATGGATCGCCTAGATACAATCATGCTTCCGCCAAGAAGCGGAACTCTACCAAAGAAAAGAAAACCTTAGTAGTTTAGGATGCGGAGCAAGCTCCATGCTGAGTCCATGCGATGCAACCTAGGATATGAAATGTCACAAAACAGCAATGTCACAACTAACAGCCTAAGTGAAAGCAGAAGCAACTAACGAACATACATGTCCTAGGAAGCAAAAGCAACTAACTAGCATACATGTCCTAGGAAAGCAGAAAGTAGTGACAACTAGATCCTAGAATGTTGGAGGCACTAGCCTCAGTCTGGTAACAACTGACTAGTGTATAAGCTGTCTCTTATACACATCTAGATGTGTATAAGAGACAGCAACTGACTAGTGTATAAGTCCTAAGAACAGCAAGAGCAGAACAACTAAATCCTAGAAATGTCGGAGGCAGTAGCCTCAGTCTGAGAGCAACAAAGCAATCAACAAGACAACCATATGTCACATGAGAAGTGTGTCGCACACCAAAGGGTGGGATGGTCTCTGAGGGTGGCGAATGCAGCCTAGGGGTCGAAAACTCCTAAGGGCATCCACACATAGTGACAGGGGAAAACACATGTCATCAGGCTCAATGAGGATAGGGAACTGGGAGCGAACAGAACCAATGACCCTAACAGATAGACCATCCGGGAGGGTAATGCTCAACTAAGGGGTGACGGCTATGGAGGGTCGACCATGCAAGGGAACAAGGGAGCCTGGTATACTGGGCGCACCTAGATGAAGCATGCGGCGCTGCCTAACTAGGGCGTGAGGGCCGGCTAAGGGTAGAAAGATGATGGGTAAGGGAATCATGCAAACGACTCCTAAAGTGAAGGAAGTCGGAGCTAGATCCGTAAGGAGGAAGAGCCGCAGCGTCGACGAGCTGAAGTAGTAAAGCTGATGTGGATGGAGTACTGAGAAGTCAAAGACGTGGGAAGGTAAGTTAGAGTCAATCGTCGTATCGAGCAGGACGACGACGAGTGCGCTGTGGACGCTCAGAAGCATCCGGCTGCTGCTGAAGGTCTGCCTTAGATGGAGCAGGCTCGACTTCAGCGGTCTCCTCAGCCGGAGGAGAAGGAGGAGAGTCAGTGGGCTGAGGAGGAGCAGTGAACCCAGCACGACGAGCACGGTCATAGGCACGCACCAACATGCGAGCATGCTGCAAGTGCTCTAGGGGCTCTCAGGTAGCCTCCTCATCAGGGTAACCCTTCCAACGTACGAGATACTCGACGTGGGGAGGGTTGTCGTCGGTGACTTGGCGACCAATGATGTCTGAAACGAGGAACTCCTCGTGACCGTCCACCATGATGGGTGGAGGGCGCTCGTATGGTCGTCCGGCGAAACGCTCAGACGGTGTGCGGTAAGGACGCAGTAACGAGACGTGGTAGACATCGTGCACACGAGCCTGGCGTAGGTAGTCGGGCAGCTTTACACAGAAGCTGACCGGGCTAGAAGCCGTATCAGAACCGACGGCCTAGAGGATGCGGCATGGACCAAAGAAGCGACGCCGAAACTTGCAAAGCGTATCTACTTCGACCTGTAAGTGACGGGCGTCGATAAGCACATCATCACCGACTTTGAATGGATGATCCATCCTCGATCGGCTCGCACGTGCTGCCATGCGAGTCTGGGAAGCGACTCTGTGCTCATGTGTGGTCTTCATGATCGACGTCATGTGTGCAACCCAATCATCCAGCGCGGGACAACTCGTGTTGGGGTGCATCTGTGACGGTCGAAGGAAGTCCGCGGGAACACGAGGGTGATAGCCGAGGTCGCAATAGTAAGGCGACATCCCCGTGGCTGGCGAGACGGCGTGGTTGTAGGCTATCTCCGCGTGGGCAAGATGGAGGTCCCACTGCTGGTCGTCACGAACAATCTTTCGGAGAATATTTCCTAGAGTCATGTTCGTGACCTCGGTCTGACCATCAGTCTGAGGATGGTAAGATGAGGAGAAGCGGAGCTGAGTGCCGTATACCTCGTGGAGTCGTCACCATAATCGACTGGTAAAGCGTGGGTCACGGTCAGATATGATGCTGAGAGGTAAGCCATGGTTACACACGACTCGGTCAAACACGATGTCGGCGACCTCACGTGCACTGATAGCATAGCGGCACGGAACAAAGCGTGCACGCTTTGTGAAGTGGTCGACGACGACCAAGATAGCATCATGACTGTGGGGGGTCGGAGGTCGAAGAAGACCAATAAAGTCCATCGAGATGGACAACCAATGACCTCAGGGATAGGAAGAGGCTGGAGCAAACCATAAGGTAGGTGGTTCACACTGTTCACCTCCTGACAGATGGGACACTCTGCGACGTAGTCCTTCACAAAGTCCTTGCGCTTCGGCCAGACGTACAGGCGGCTCACACGAGCCAACGTCTTGTGGAAGCCCATATGACCGGCGGCTGCCTGGTCATGGAACTCTGCTACTGCTCGGACACGTAGCTGTCCAGTGGAGGGAACGCAAATACGGGGCTCTCTGGTGCCCTCTGACCCGTGCCAGTACACAAGACCGTTGTCCCCGAGAGAGTAGTTCGGGACGGTCTTGCCACGCCGAAGGGTCACGTGGATGTCGCGATAGTCGGGGCAGTGGCGGTACTGAGTGCGAAACTCGTCGATCACCGAGTGGTGGACGGTGGTGACCGCGATGGAAAAGAGCTGGATGTGCTCCTGGTCGTGGTCAGGGCGTCGGGATAGGGCATCTGCGACCCGATTAGTCTCACCCTTGATGTGCTCAGTGGTGAAACTAAACTCGGATAGGTCGCGCCACCAGCGAGCCTGTCGAGGAGTGAACTTCGGTTTTGTCAGAAAAGCCTAGACAGTTGTCCGTACGCACCGTAAATGGTGCCCCGTGCAGGTAGTGACGCTAGTGCCGAGCGACATTAACTACTGCGAGAACCTCACGTTCATCAGCAGTGTAGTTTATCTCGGCGGGCAAGAGCTGACGGGAGTAGAAGGCTATCGGACAATCACCTGAGCGAGACTCGACAGTGCCGTCCTCGGCGATGGTAGGAGAATAGTCAATAGGAGGCTCGTCAGTAGCTGGACGAGTAGGCGTCAGTCGGGAAGCGGTGGTAGGGGTAGGTGGTGGGAAGCGAGGGATACGAGGATGAGAGGAATCAGGAGAGGAGAGGAAGACCTGAGAAAGCACTGCTCCTACAACAAAGTCTGATGCATCGGTGGTAAGGATAAAAGGGCGATCGAAATCGGGTAGGTGAAGAACCGGTGCGCATGTCACCGCCTTCTTGAGGGCGCAGAAAGCATCCTCGTGGAGGGGTGTCCAAGCCCAGGGTGGGTTCTTCCGGAGGAGGGTGGAGGTAAGGGCGTAGGAATACCTAGCGTATCCCCGGATGAAATTACTATAGTAGCTGGTCAGGCCTAGGAAGCTGCGAAGCTGCTTGGCGGATGTGGGGGCAGGCCACTCCGCAATAGCAGTGATCTTCGCGTCGTCCATGTGGAGACCCTGGTAAGACACGTAGTGTCCTAAGAAATCCACTTTGTGCTGAGCAAAGCGGCACTTGCTCAACTTGGCGTAGAAGCCATGTCTGCGCAAGCGGTCAAGGACGTCACGGAGGTGTCTGAGGTGCTCCTCAAGGGTACGACTATAGACCAGGATATCGTCGAGGTAGACGAGAACGTACTGCTCCAGGATGTCCCTGAAGATGTCGTTCATCGCCCTCTGGAAGGTAGCGGGTGCGTTGGTGAGGCCAAATGGCATCACCGTGAACTTGTAGTGGCCGAATTGCGATCGGAACGCAATCTTCGGCTGGTTGGCTGCAGCGACGCGGATCTGATGGTAACCGCTACGAAGATCGATCTTCGTAAAGAAGCGGTTGCCTACTAGGCGATCGAACAACTCATTGGAACGAGGCATGGGGTAACTGTTCTTAACCATGTAGCGGTTGAGACCGTGATAGTCGATGCAGAGACGAAGAGCTCCATCCGCTTTGCGAGCAAAGAGGACGGGTGCACCCCACGGGGAGTTGCTGGGTTTAATGAAACCTAGTCTAAGGAGCTCCTCAAGATGACGCTTGAATTCGGTGGCCTCGGGGATCGAGAGTCTGTAGGGTGCCTAGTGGTGAACACGATAGTCAGGCACAAGCTGAATGGAGTGCTCGATGTCACGCATCGGTGGGATGCCGGCGTATGAGAACGACGATGGGAAAACATCGTGGTACTCTCGGATAAGGTCACAAACTGCGGGCTCCAGGTCAGCCGTTTATCGTGTGAGCTCCTTAGCGTCAGCGTCAGCGCGCGACGATGGAGTGGACTCGACGGACGGCGGGGGGACGGAAGTAGAGATGGGAGCCATGGAGATAGAGGGAGGATCTGGCTCCAGAGGGATGAGCTTGACGTCGGGACAGGGTGGATCATAGTGCAAGAGATCCGTTACGTCCACCGTAAAGAAGGTGACGTCGTCCTGTCGAATGAAGTGAGCGAACTGCTGAGGCGAGGTGACAGTGATAGAGGGAGATGGTGTGGGCACTGAAGGCTTCGGGGGAGGAGGATCGGGGCGTGGTGTCGCCGTGGTACCTATGAAAGGTACGCGATACGTCTGTCCACACTTCGTTTTGAGAACGAGAGTGTTGGTCGCCCAATCGGCCTCGGTGCTGCGGAACCGACGAGACCACGGAGTGCCGAGAATGAAGTCGTACCCCGTCTCCATCACATCGAAATGTGCAGAGGAGCGGTGGCGACGAGACGCCGGGGAACGATCAGTCGGCTCGAGAGTGAGGAAGAAGGGGAGGTCGGTGACCGTCTGATCGAAGAAGCGCTGGGTCTTGTCATCCCCTAGGGTAACGGAGATGGAAGTAAGAGACCCTATCGTGGGTAAGCGGGCTTCCTTCACCACACATGGGTGAATGAAGTCGCCCTGAGAACCGGAATCCCACAACGCTGAGTACACCCTCGTGGAGGTCCCGAGTCGTATTGGGATGATCGGGAGGGTGCGATCAGGGTCAGAGAGGACGGCGAGAAGGCGACACAGTGCAGCGACATGGAGGGTGAGTCGCTCCTTACGAGCCTGGAGCATGCTCAAGTTCAGAAGAGAGGACACAACGTCCTCGCGAGTAGCAAGCTGCGTGCTGCAACGGGCTGAGCGAATGGCTCGACGCGTCGGTAGTCGCGGCGGGGAAGGAGGGGGGAGATGGTGGTCTGCGGAGGTGCAGACGGTACAGCGACAGAGGGCTGAGTACACTCTGTCGAGTCCTGCGATACCTCAACTCCAGTAGCGAGAGGGGCGAACCGCGATGGAGATGTCGGGAAGCCCACTACTGAGGGGCGAACCGCGACGGAGGGGCGGAGGTGTACACTGCACCATGGCTAGGAGGCGCCGCGAGGACGTGAGGCGCCGGGGGGGGACTGAGCATGACGCTGACGAGAAAGGTCAGCGTAGTGGCGGTCGAGGGCGGTAGTGTAAGGGCACCGCGAGGAGGTATGACCGTCCAAGCGCGCAAACACCTATGTCGGCCTAGAATAGCCGAGCGCTCCTCAGCGAAAAGGACACCGCGAGGAGGGACGAAGCCCTGAGGGAGGTCCTCTTGAGGGACCTCAGGGCGCGACGCGCCAGCGTGACCGGGGCGGCTGCGTGCCCGAGAGAGGGCGGAGAGCGCGAGCTGAAGGCGCTCAGCTGCAGGGAGGGTAGAGTCCTCCAAGTGATAGTGGACGGCCTTGCAGAGATCGAGGTCATCGCTATGGTCGCCCTCAGGTGACAGTGGGGCAGCAGCGTCCTGCTCACCATACTCCAGCGCGCTGAAGCGCCACGAGAAGTGGCAACCCTGCTGCGTGGAACGGCGGGGGCGACCGCGGAAAGGGGAACGGCGCTGGGAAGTGCCGTGAGAGGAGGAGGAGGCGTAGCCCGTGCACTGGGGCTGGGAGGAGGAGGCGGGGTGAAGACGGGCTCGCATCCGCTGATGGTCCCTAGCGGCCTCGTAAGCCTGTGGGGCCGATGTGAACTCGTACCGCCATAGCTCGGAGCAGTGCTCGAGCGGGAGGCTGGCCAAGAAACGATCAATAAGGGCATCCTCGGGAAGGAACGCCACGTCACAAACGAGGCGGGCGTCTTGAAAGACCTGGATGTGGCGATCCAGGCCGGCAGCGCCACCAGAGCTGGACCAGCGTGTAGTGACGACACGCTCGAAGGCGTCAGTCACGTCATATCGGGTTCCGAAGCGATCCTCGAGGAACGCCTAGAAATCCATGAAGGTCGGAGTCCGACCCTCACGCAGGGAGTAAGCATAGAAATCCTCCCAGGCGTCGAAAGGAGCACCATACAAGCGCGTGGAGAGGTGACCCACCTATGTGTCGGGTGTGGAGCCTATAAGCTGGAGCGTGCGGGTGGCAGCCTGCAGCCACCTAGATACGCGTATGCCTGTACCATCATACAAGGGAATGTCCGACAAGCGGATGAGTGGTGTGCCACCATTTTGGCGGCGAGGGGAACGGGAAGCAGGGGACTGCGCTACGGCGGAATAAGTCGGCGCATGTCCTGGAGGAGGAGGAGGCGCAGCTGACTGTACGCCCGGGCCGCATGGTGGAGCGGCGGGGGAAGCAGCGGCAGGCTGCACGGGAGTTGCGGTAGAAGAGGTCGCGGCGACCGAGGGGATGGGGAGGAGGTAGGATGGAGATTGGTAGGGTGCAGGGCGAGGGAAGCGAGTCTGCATGGAAGGAAGAATAGAGGAAGAAGGGGGTGCACCGGAAGGCGCGGCCACCTGGAGGGTGGGGGTGGCTGAAGGCGTGAGAGGGCGAGGTCGGTCCGGAGCCGGGCGATCTCGTCCTCGAGACTTCGAACGTAGGTCGAGCGAGGTGTGGCAGGGGGAGACACATGAGCGGCGCGAGGCATCCCACAAGGGGGAGAGCCATATGGCGCTGCGGTCGTGCGAAGAGGGGGGAAAAGTGGGGCACCCGGAAAAGCTGAGACCATGGTAGCGGGTTGTGGTCCCGTGGCCGTCGTGACCGGAATCTGGGCGGGCGCACCCGTGGACTGAGGGAGGGCCTGACTCGTGGCGGTCGTCGTGCTAGGTGCGTGGACGGTCACCAAGATGGCYGGGTCGRGGGCAGCGGWGGAGGAAGCTCCACCGTGGCYACCCTGTCGGAAGGCGGGGGACCCGGACTGGGAGCCAGGAGAAGAGATAGGGTGAGGAGAGGAAGGACGACCAGCGTCCTGGAGTTGTCGCACGCCGGCGGCAAGGGTCGCCACCTGTGCCTGTAAGGGCGCGAGGGTCGCGATTTGCGCCTGGATGGGCGCCAAAAAGGAGGTGAGAAGGGTGTGCAGATCCCCCTGGGGCTGATGGCCCTGGTCCGCCGACACGGGTGTGGAGCCCGATGTCGTGGTCATCGCTGTGTCGACGGCGTGTGACACACCGTCAGCCATGGGGAGATGACGGACCGGACTGGAGGGGGCCAGAAGAGGTCCGCGTGAGCGGAGGGCGTAGGGGGAAGTCCGTGGTAGAAAGCGGCGAACGGCTCTAGCAAGGCTAGTGCGGGCGCCGTCAAAGGGGGAGGGGTGGTTTAGGTCCAGGGTGCCCGAAGAGGACGGGGAAGTAGTGGGGGGGGGTTGAAGAACCCTAAACCCTACAAAACCCTAAGAAAACCCTAACCGAGGCTTAAGTGGTTAGGGTAGGGTACTAGTGACCTGATCAAGAAAGTAAAAGAGCAAGCATAGGGGGGGGAAAGCGGGAGAAAAATAAATAAACAGCGAGATTTCGAGAGAAAATAAAAATAAATACGGAAATAAATAAATAATAAAAATAATTAAAGAAATAAGTAAAAGGATGAAAAAGGAAAAAACAATATTTATTTTTTTGAAATTTTCGGCAGCATTTCCCTACCCCCCACGGGGTCAAGAATGCGCCAAGGGAAAAGGAGAGACCAAGGTGAGCACACTAGAGATGCCGCAAATAATAAAAAGAAAATTTAAAAAATAAATAAATAATAAATAAATAAATAAGTAAATAAGTGTGTGAGGAGGTGGAGAGGAATGGGTTATCTGATTTTTCAAAAATTTTGGCAGCATTTCGTTACCCCCATGGGGTCGAAGTGTGCCGAAAAGACTAAGTAAGAGAAAATCAGAAAATTTTGGCAGCACTTCGTAACCCCCATGAGGTCAAAACGTGTGCCGGAAGCAAGAAAGGCTAGCACCTAATCAGATTGAGGGTTGCCGCCAAGAAATTCAAATTTTCAGAATAAATAAAAATAAATAAAATAAATCAGAAAATAAGAAAAGAGGGTGGGGAAGAGGATGAGAAAACTAACAACTAATCACATTTAGGGTTGCATAGAGAAAATTGAATTTTCAGAATAAATAGAAAAATAAATGAAATGAATCAGAAAATCAGAAAAGAGGGTGGGAAAGACGAGATTTTGAATTTTTGGAAAAGAGAAAAAATAAATCAAAAGGGAGGTAGAAAGAAGAAAAACAGAAGAAAAAAAAAAAATTCGAAGTAGGGGGGAAGGGGAATGAAGAAGTGAAGGAGAAAATAAAGAAATAGGTGGGGGGAGAGAAAAAAATGAAGTGGGAGGTAGGGGGATGGTGTGGTGGTAGTTGGGGGAGAGGAGGGATGGGGAAAGGTGGAGAGAGATCAAGAAGAAAGGAGAAAGAAAGAAAGAAAAGAAGAGATGAAGAAAATAGAGTAAAAGAATGGGTGGTGGGAGAAAGGTGGGGTGGGGAAGATAAAAGGAGGAGAGAAAAAATGCAGTAGAAGGTGGGGGAAAGAGAAGGGGTGAATAAGAGGAGAGTGGGTTAGTAGAGGGAGAGTAGGCCCTCTCCATTGTAGAGCAGCCCCCTAAGCAGGGGGGTCTTCAGTCCCACCACAGGCTGCCACGTGGCCGTGGAGATGGCCACGTGCACAGGCAACAACAACCACGGGGGGGGGGGTAAATAGCCAGCAAGGCACCTCTTCAACACGAGTGTGCCATGTTACACAGCCATGGACACATTGTGGCGAGTGTGTTATGAGGCTGCTTACACACGCGCATGGCTCAACAGGTGCCTGGGTTCAAACCCCAGTGGCAGCAAAAACTCCCGGATCTTAATAAGATAAATCTGGGAGCGGGGCGGGGCAGTGGGGCAATGTGGGCGCGTGGCGCATGCGCGCATGCGGCGGCCTTGGCCTTTGCGCGCACGCTCGTCGTGGCACCTTTCTTTTCTGCCACGTGGCGCCTCCTCCACGCGCCGCTTTTCCCCTGCGTTTTCACTTAAAAACGCCCGAAAACAGCGAAAAAAACCGATGTCGGGTTTTGCTGTTTTCCTCAGCTGTGAGCGGGGAATGTGCTGATGGGTGGGGAGCGGGGAACATTCCCGCTCCGATACCAATGTAGC